AGTTTATATGTATATTTATCAGTTAATTAAAACACTACTCAAATCATTGGGTATTATATTTTTAGTGATATTTTATGATGGGATTGATGAGACAGTCATTGTCATATCGGTCGTGGAAATATTTTATGAAGGGAAAAAACCGGAAATGTTACAATAAATGTTAAATTGTTTACTTATATAATATTCTATTATTTCTTACTTCATACGACTCTGATGAACAGTAAAATTGAATTATACAAAATAATTATAGTCTTAGTTTTCCAAAAATTTGCCCATTGATAGTAAAATAATAAAAACATAAAATTAGACATGAGTATTATTATACAACAGTGGTGCATATAGAAATTAATTTAAGGGAAGGTTATAAAAAAAACATTTAAATTTTTAGTTAATATATCAATCAAATAGATTCAAAAATACGCACATGTGCCGCACTAAACGCAAATTTCGGGGAGAGGGGTGTATGAACATTCAAAATCCTTCCCTATATACGCCACTACTAAAGAACAATTATTTTTAAATTATGTTTCAGCTATATTCCATCATCAGATCATATATAAATACAACATAATATTAAAAAAAAAAAAAAAACACTGATATATCTATGTATCTAATAATATGTTTATAAGTATAGGTACTATATAAACGACGACTATCCAGAAAATGCGTCTTGATCCGCTATATTATAATACGAGTAACAGGGAAATGTTTAGATATATTAACTGATAACATGCAATGATAAATGATAATTTTGATTAATAGTAATTACTATTTACTGTTCAATAGATGTCATCTTTTTTTTTTTAATGTTGTAATTCAGTAAAAACACTACTTTAAATTTGAGATGTTCACATAATTGTTTTATTAAAATTGTATAAATTTAGTACAGATTTTCAAATTATCTGGTGAATTTTTGAGTTTCCATACGCCTTCTATTTTATATGATAATGTTTCAAATTCGGAGCGCGAGGAGGATTTGACTGGTTTTACTATGATGTGTTTTGTTTTCTATCTGAAAAACAAATTTTCAAAAAGAAAACTTACCCCTATGTATCAAATATATTACCTTTGCTGAAAGAAAATTTATCTAGTTGTTGTATCAATTATGTTATTTTTGATTTTTTAAGGGATTTTCATAATAGTTGGTAAAAACAGACAACAAAATATTAGTTTAAACAGCAAATTTGACGGCACGCCACCTCCGCGTTGGTGATTTCATTGTTTTTTAACTTAAGCAAATTATGCTTTCTACCAGTATAATTGCTCCAATAGAAAAACAATAAAATATTAATTTTGTTGAGTTTTTAATTTAGTTAGTGAGTAAAAAAGTGGTTTTTTGATTTTTCTTATGGTTTTTTTAATAATTAAAAATAATCCCGAATTTCCGTCTACTGCAAGTAACCCGAAACAGAATGTACAGTTTTTTTTGAGTCATATTCTTTGAATAAATAAGGCAAAGAAATTTTAAGTAATGATGCATCTGATTAAAAATTTTAGTTTAATTTAGAAATTTATATTAATATTAATCGTCGTATTCGTTAAACGAAGAATTGCCTTTTTAGTAAACAAAACAGTAATTTTATAACTCTATTATTATTTTATAACAGCCACATTTATTGATTTGTTTTTAAACATGTAATTCAAAATTACCGGTTAGTAAAGAATAGAAGCGATATATTATAATAAATTATATATTTGTTATTATTATCATAGTAAAAATAACCACAAAATATAATCTTTTAACGTCAAAACACTACCGTACACACCTACCCTGTATATTTGTTTTTTCTTTAACGATACAGTATCAACGGTTATGACAGTTATAAGATGATGATGATGATGATGATGATGATGATGACGATAAGCATTCAAGTAGAAAACCTTGCGGGAAAATATTTCGAGAAAATATATATAATTTACCAGTACACAGCTTTAGAAAGTGTTCTCGTCATGTTTTAAACACCATGTGTGAAGTGTTTAAAATTTACTCAAGTAAATATACGGTATTTAAAGAAAAAAACCAATAAACCCCTTTGTTTTATTATTTTTTTTGCATATTAATGATCTTATCGATCATAAGCAGTGTAAAACCTAAAGATTTTTATGTTCTATATCAATTTTTTATTAGATCATTTTATTATGAAAAAAATATAGTCCTTTTGCCGGTTAACCAATTATTAAAATTTTTGACAACTTATACAAATATAATATAAATGTAAAAACAAACTGTGTTGCAATATAGAAAGGTTACAAATAACACGTTTTTAACAAATAAAAGGCATTCACCATAAGACAGAAGTTTTTTTTTTATAATGTATTAATAGTCCCTAAATATATTTAAAAAGATAAATTCAATTAGTGATTGAGAGAAAACATATTTATCGAATAAATCTGTTGCATTTTATCGGTAAAATGATTCTATAAACAATGCCAATGAATATCATCTGTTATCTACATGAAATAATCTGTGTGTTATTTTTGTTTTTGCGCGAAAATTGTTTGATTTTCGCAGAGTATAAAACAAAATATAATAGTTTTAAAGTAATATATTTTACACTTTATTTCTATACTTAGAAACTTTTTGATAATAAATTTTTACCGGCTCTATAAGTGATATATCATATTATATAGTTGTTTGTTTAAATAAAATATATTGTATTTACAAAAATACATTTAAAACCATAATAACACAAACATCTTATAAAAATCAGAAAAATATCGTACATTTTATGATAATTATATACCTATTGTATTATCTATAACATACTGAAATTAATGAAACGTTTTAATCCAAAAATTAAACAAAATTTCTTAATCTAGGCAATATAGTTTAATTTTATGATTATCCTTCTATTCTTTCAATTTTAAATCAATCATTTTCCAAGAACGGTAAAAAGATTGTCTTCAAAATGTTATCCGTACATAGTATCATTATAGCCTACAAGTGTTTTATTTCTTTAACTGATTTTATTGGCCTTTTCGTTAAATTTACGACGTAAACTTTATGCGAAAGCATTTATAATGGAAAATCAGAGATATTAAAGACCACAGTAACAATCGTAATAAGTGCACGATCATTGCTTCTTATGTAAAATGTTTTGGATGAAATATTATTAATTAATCAAATAATACTTCTATCAAAATATTATCATTTTTTAAAAATTGACATGATGACATCCCTAGTTATTTGTTTAGAGCCAGGGATAAATTAATTCAATGGCATTCTATTCGTTATAATATGATTAAAAATAAACATAAACGATGATATTAACAATAAAAACAATTGTATAAATAAATCTAATTTTTTTAACGTATACACCAAAGTATCCAAATTGCCTATTTATCGCGCCGTGCACATAAGATACTCGACTGAACTTGTCTTTGTGGAAAAACGATTGAAGACGGATCAAACCACTTTCGTAGTTAGATTCAGAGTCTATTCGGGTACTAACATCTCGAGTGGTCATTTGTATCAGACTATCAAAATTCGTTAAACTCGAGGGTTTTGGTCATAGAATAAAGGCTATCTTAGTATAAGTTTATTATAATGTATGTTGCCACATTGTAACTATACAACTTTGATATAACTTCACTGATACTACAGACGTTAAGCATCATTTATGTTGTGGCACGATGTAAAGTAGTTAAATCCTTTAATACTGCTCTACATTTATCCAAATTTAAATTGGGGATATTTCGTTAAAAAGTTTAATATCTGAATATTGCAATATATTTAAATTAATACTTCATCTATTTTTGGAATTTTTAATATAAATAACCGTTTTATTTGATGGTCATTTTCATTGAAATTTAAACTTAAAAAATTAATTAAAAAGGAGACTATATTACGCTCATTTTGTTTTTTTATTTGAACCGTTATTAAGAAATATATTTTTTTTTGGTTTTAAATTGTTCTGAATAAAGCCACATAGCACGTATGTAAACTGCATATTATAATAATATTAAATGACGGACGTCATAAATTAGTAACCACGTGAAATTTGGTAGTAAAAAGAACGGTGTGTGTTTGTATAACACTTAATCATAATATATATATATTAATAATTTTTACAAAAAAATAGTAGAAATTTTGTTTAAAAACGAAAAAAAAAATATTTTGATTATGTTTGTTTATGCCGTTGGTCCAAGCCTATTGTAAATAACGTTAACCAATTTAAAGTAATTCAGCTTTTGATATTGTAGAAAAAATAACACCAAAAGATTCGCACTTATATCACGCTGCTATACCTTTACGCGGGGTAGAAATCAACAGAAGAAAGGTGCCCCAAATTCAGCGAAAACTAATATGACTATAATATAATGAAATAACCAAGAGAAATATATATTAAATTGGTTATGATTTGAAATTTTATTTTTATTCTACTCACTAATATATATATATATATATATAATCCAGTACTGCAAATGTGTAAAATTGCTCTGAAATGTACTTAAAAATAACGTTTGTTTGTCAAAATATATAAAACGAAAACCTGAAACATATATGACATTATACTGTCTGATTTGAACAAAATATGTACATCACGAAGCATGTTATAGTGTAAAAATGTAAATAGACGATAAAAGTCCGGCCACTTCATCTCGATGTCCTTTAAAAATATAATTGCTATCTGAGAAAAACAAGATCTTAAAACGAATAATCTGTAATGGTTATTGTAAATATTATTCTTTTGAAAAACGAATGGTTTTCAATTAATGTTCCAAGAAAATATGGTCACCGAATATATGCAGATCTTCTTAAAGACTAATTACAAATTCGATGGATTTTTGGATTTTTTGTATAGTTCATAATGATTATTGTAGATTTGTGGAGAAATATGTACGACACCAACCACAATATAAAGGCTACTAATATAACATTTTACAAAAATATATCCAACAGAAGTTAAAATTAAACATGATGGAATAAATTTACGAATACTAATAAGGACATCGATACATCACTAACTTAAAGATTATAACTAGTTTTAATATAACTATCAAAAGGCGGTTATGACCTTGATTTCTGTTTCTGATCTTATGCCCATTCTTTTCATTTGCTCGTTCAGTATTTTACCTTTGACAAAATTGATCGTTAGTCTATCATCACTCAACGCTTCAGAAGCAGTGATTAGATAATCATACCCTTTTAGTAGGACCCATAGGAGGAAACAAACAGACAAGGGTTCAATTGATTTGCCTCTACCGTCGGTTGGATCTCGGATAAGTTTGTAAAAAGTGAGCAAATGAGCGGCTAGTTTCTGTTTTCGTCGAATTTGATTGACGAAAGGCATCTAATTGTAAACAATTGATTTTGTATCATTTTTTGTTAGAATGTTTCGGTAAGTTCTTCCCAAATTTTTAATGACAAAAGTCCTTTTTCGTTACATTTCGAATCTAGCTGGTGTTTTTAGAAAGATATTTTTCGGTTTTCCCTGTGGTTTTCAAAATAATTGGGTAAAATCGGAAAACAATTCTAGGAAAAATGGCAAATATTTACGGCGTATCACGGTGTTACTGATTTCATTGTTTTTAATTTCTACGTGTTATGTTTTCGACTAAGTTATATTACTTTTATCTAAATATTCCAAAATATCTTGTTGGAAAGCAAGTAAATCGTTTTTGTTTTATTTCCCAAGTAGCTCTCATAATAATTGAGAGAAATCGGGAAGAGAATTAAAATTAATACTATAAAAATTACGGCATTATGATTTCATTATTTACATTTTTTACAGACTTCAATCAAAAAACGAAAATTACACCTTTTTTTTTTTTTAGATATTTTAGATCTATTTGATTTTATTAAACTCTCTTCTAGAGCGGTGACCTACCCGTAACGCAATACGAGGGTCTGGGTGTTCAACAACCGTACCCGATAAATTTGCAGGTCTTCGTTATATTATTATTCCGGCATTACTGTGGTAGAATTAATCATTTCTCGTGAACGTGAATATTATTTTCACCTGACACAAACATTTGTATGCACATATTATATAGGTTTGCATCCGTGATTTATTATATGACCATCATCGATGACTCCACGGTTGAAAACTAAAATAATATGATTCACGTGCGTTTTATATTATGTTAACGTACCTCGGTTATTAGCCGCCAATTTTTCAATCGAGTTAAAATGCAGTTAGTTACAGGCAATTGATAGAGCCGATATTTTTCCTCGACGACAAATTATTCTCGTTTAATCGTTTCTCCTCGCCCTATTACAATAAAACTTTTGTCCTTATAAAACGTTCCCGTATTTCAGCGCACACAAATCCGGAAAAAAGTTTTCCTTGAGAAAAAAAAACAACTGTTAGTTAAACTTGAATATAGTTTCCATCTGAATTTACAAAAAACACTCATGGGCAATAATACTCCGTCCAATTTTATACAAAATAATATTCTTTGCCGAAAAGTAAGTAATCGAATATTATTATCATAATATATAAATGCATATTAGTTTACTATAATTTTAATTCTTCAAAGAATAGTGAACTATAATCATAAAAATGGTAGTAGTGGGAATTTAAAATGAAACTACCAAAAGGTATATCCTATTAATAACAACGCTACGTTTGTATTAAATTGCATTCCCTTGCCATCGTATTGGGTGTCCGTATGTGTGTAAAAAGGAACAAAATATCCTTCACACACAATGGTATGGCTAAACTTCTATTGAAATTCAATCCGCATACATAATAAAACTAATTTCCGAATTCTAGTTAATATAGTGCACTATGGATCTGCTTAAAATGTCTAAAAGTAATTTTGACCAAAACTGTAAGATCCCAAGAAGTTTTAATTCTATTTTTAAATTATTTTTTTCACGTCTTAGATTCAATTTCATCATTATTATTTTTGTATAATAATTAGGTTTACAAAATAAATCCATTCAAGTAATAATAATTAACTTGGTTTCGAACTTTATTGATTTTTGCTCCTTTTTTTTCAGGATATAAAATTTATAACATAATGAGATATAAATAGGGTATTTAAAAATTATTTCACAATTGTCCTTTTCAATGTAGGCACAATTTCGTTAAAACGAAATTATTTTGAAATTCCTTTTTTTATATTTAAAAATAGCTTTATTATTATAATAATACATGATTTCTAACATAATTAAAAACTATCTCCATAAATTTTATCTAAGTATAAAGATTGATTGATAAAAAAAAAATCGATTGCAGTTACTTGCATATTATCATAAACGGCTTATTAGAAAATATACCCAAAATCCTGTTTTATCTACATATTACAACTATAAAATATGATACTGTACAATAATAATTAGTTTTTATTTTTTACACACATGTTTACAAATAAGCATACTAACTTAATAAAATCAGTTTTGAAATTTGCTCAAGATTTCATTTTTAAGAATAAAAATAACCAAAGCCAGGGACAACAACAAAACATATAGTCAAAATGTATTACATTTAAATATATACAGTTCAAATGAATGTAAACAGGTTTTAAAATATTTAATACCTAGTTGAAAGAAACCAAGTCAATGAATAGAATCAAATAATTTTGAATCGTGATTCTGTATGCATAACTCGACTGACGTTTACTTTAGACGAAAAAGTAGTTCGGAAGATGGTTTTTAAAATTTTGATGACCCAGCCGGTATTGTGCTATGATAAACTACTATCAGGCGGCAAGATACTGGTAAATTGGCATCAATTTATTTCCGGTAGGATTTTGACGAAAAGAGGGTTAGTTACGCAAAAATAAAGTGGGTGCAATGAAACGGATAAACTAGAAAAAGCATATGAGGAACCAAGGATAGATAGACGGAGTGGTTGAGGATGGATGGTGAAAAGTGAGTTGCAAGTATTGGTAGGTAAATATATAAAAGTTGAGAAAAAACAAGGGAGGTGGAAAGTTTTCGTAAGTACACCACGTCATCGAAAGAATAAAGGAATTTTACCTAACCTCACTTTTTCGCGCTTCTGGCGTTTAAATTACTAATATCACTTGGAAAACAAAAACCGAAAAACATATCACACGGGCAATGCAGCTGGTACCTGTATAGGTAAGAAAATCCATTAGCCAGTTTTAGTTTTTAAGTTGGTTATGACCACGACTACAATTTAAAAGAGTAGGTAGCTCATGTACTGACAGCACTATTTATGCGACAACATTTTTACATATAAACCGATTTTTCCCAATAACCTAATAGTTAAATTTTTAAAATATTACAATACCAATTTATTATAATATATGAGGAGATCGTATTCACTAATTCAACTAATTTTACTGTGTAATTTATACTTAAATCTATAATCGAGTTCCTCAAAACAAAAACTTTAGTGAAGATATACATTTTTAATAGAGCTAAAGTCAATTTCTCGTATACAGATTACGAGCACCCCGACTCATAATATACGTCACTTATTAATTTATATGTATACCATGGAAATTTCAATGAAGAATTACGAACTTTAAAAGTAATGGACGGATATCACGTTAGGCAATAAATTTATTATGAAGAACGAAGGGGGACTTTATATTGATATAATGGCATGTATCCTGTAAATAGTCGAAATAAATCAATGTATTTAATACAAAATATTATAAATAATTAAAAGTTTTCTAGTAGAAAGAGGAGAAGATTATTTACTTTATAATTAGCTTATAGTGTACAGTCTGTCTTCAGTTAAGCCATAACTATTTGTATTTATTTTTGTTTTATTGATACAGAATGCATAACTTTCGAAAATAATATTATAAATTGATCATTCTGTAATTTTTATTCGAATAAATTAAATTCGAGGTTTCAAATAAAATTATCAATATTAAGTATCAAGCTTAAGAAAAATTAGGAGCTGACACTACTGATAAGTGCACCAATAAAATAGGTGCAAAGACCCTTAAAATATTATTTAATGAATTACAACAAAAATAAACACGAAATTAAGAATAATATCATTTTCATAATCTTTCTAATTATTTTTTTTGTTTTTTTGGGGAGGTTTTACTCAATTATTAAAAAAAAAAAATAATAATAATCTTAACGGAAAATCATAAAATTACTGTCTTAAAATTGAAATAAATTAAAAAATCCATAAATAATATCTCTTGTCATTTTTCGACTGGAGCAATATCTTAAAAAAAAAAACCCGCTGTTTACAAATTTAAAATAAGAAATTGTGCGTCGTAAATTTGTCAATTTTCATTTTTCGTCTTTTTTTTGGTTTTCCACAATTATTATTAAAACTGCTGAGAAAATCAAAAAATGACTTACATTCTCAACAATTAGATTTAAAATTCAGCAAAAATAATTTTTTAAAAATTTTTATATAAAAGCAATAGTTTTGATAGAAAACTTAGTGCGTACAAATTTAAAATAATGAAATCGATAACGCCATAGTTTGCTATAAATATGTGTAGTTTTTCAGTTAAATGTTTTTTCAATTTTCTCCAATTATAATAGAACACCCTGGTAGAAGCAAAAATGACCTTCTAAATGAACCAATTGGATGAAATTTCCTTTCAGAAAACGTGTGCTTCTTGATACATTGGAGGAAGTTTTCTATCAATAAAGTTGTTTAAATACACATTAAAACAAAAATAGACATAGTTAAACCAATAGATCCATCGATACGTTCCGTTTCTATAAATGATTTACTATTTATATCGTACATTTTACACAGCATCATGAAGAGTGTGCATCTCAGACTTTTATAATATTTAATAATCTAAAATCACCGATGAAGTGTATAAAACTAGAAGAAATATTCATTACTCTTTGACATTTATTTAGAAATTTAGTATCCCACGAAAATATTATAGTAATTGCAATATCTTGGAAAGTATTAACTCTTTCGGAATTTTTTTGTTTTTGTTTTTTGACAGAGAATCACTATTTCTAATGAGCATAATTTTTATGGTGGCAGAGCGCGTGGCGTTTGAATAGTGTTCCACTACTCTTTCTCAATCCAAATTCTAAGTGGAATTTCTCGTCAACAGGTTTGATGGAAATCAAAAATTTTAACACCAACATTTATATAAAGTAATAAACTCAATCTAATAAAGTAAATTTCTTTAAATAGTGGCGTCGGTATTTCCAATCAATATTACTTATTTTTTCAAACAGCTTGAAACCAAAGTCTATATCGATTTTATAACGGAGGTATAGAGGTACCGACACGTACAAACAGTTGAAAAAGGATATCGTCTCGTTCCACAAATAATGTTTTATTTAAGAAATTAAAATCCAATCTTTCAAAAAAACCATACGTTTACATAGATCCGTTCAACATGGATTTTAGATTGCAATGGTTTATCGTTGATCTCAGTACATTAACATAATGCCCCTATATTCCTATATAGTATACCATTCTAACTTCGTACCTACAAAAGTCACGACAACAACGCCCATAATCTGGCTTTTTACTATTTAATTCATTCGGGTCTACATTTCTTTTGCATTGCAAAGACGTTCATGACACTACAAATAACTCGCGATGATTATTTTAGTGGTCGGAACCTTCAAATATTATCACGCAAGGGTCTAGAAAATTGAATAATATATATTTTTTAAATGAGTTTTAGTACTTTACAGACTTCGTTTTTCTTTTAGTTTCTTTTTTTTTTTTTATTCAATTTGACCAAAAAAGGTAAGTACTCACACACAGCTGGTACATTAATACCAAAAACGTATATTGTGCGACGAAGGAAAAACGTGAAAACAATTTTTTAGTTTCACAAAAAAAAATTGCTGATTGAAATATAACAGGAGTGTGACGTAAAATAATAATATCTTTAGAAGGCATATCAAAATATGCGTATTTTAAACCCTTAAACGTTTTTCAATATTTCTAAAATAAATATATATATATATATTTATAATATATCTGTAAGCGCGTCATAGGTTTTAGTTATTTGTAAACACTCAACGTCACAAACTAATATATCCTCCGGTCAAAACTGATGTTTTTATTGCGTTCCGAAAACTCACAATAGGCAGCAGGTATGTAATATAGTTGTATTTATTTTCTATTCCGTTCGTTTTATTTGATTTTATTCTGGTGATGGGACGCGACTTGTGTTCGCACTTCACTTTATTTACTACATAATACCACGACGCGTTCTTTTTCATCACGGTAGTTATTAATTTGGTTTGTCCTTATTATATTATTATGGCGTCTGAGTATTTTTAATTATAATCGGCTATTCGTAGAGTTTTAATAAAACCGGAGTGCCAGATATACACACGGGGCATTTTTAGCATTTTTCAGATGATATTGTCCACGTCAATTACTTGGCAAGCATTCGTTGTTTCGGATCAATAGCAGAACTGCAGTTTGTACAATGTTAAAGAGGAAATTTAAATAGTATAACTTGCAACAGTAATCAAATAATACCTAATAATGTTTGAGTTTGAACGTTGAAAGAAAAAATAAATTATACGTCATTAGTGTGCCGAAATAATAAAATAACAAAACAAAAATTCCGAAAAAAAAATGTACAAGATATCGACAGTTTGGATGCATATGTACCTGTAATTGAGGGCTGTGATTTCGAATGGACATATATTATTGAATCTTCATTATCAACATGGCGACTATTGTTGGGCTATTTATTTGATTTTATCATAAAAAAACTACTATATACTACAAACTATTCACAAATCAGAGGACCTCGGGGAATTAGCGGTAATAGAAGTTTTACGCGTGTGTGTGAACATTCGTTTTCTTCTATGAATTGCTTTTAGAAAAATCCCATCCCAATTCTCGAATTTTTTTTCATGCGTAATATAATTACTATGCTAAGTATGCACGAAATAGGCACGACTAATATGAGGTTGCTTCAAAAAATTGTCTAGGCTTTGACGAGCTATAATTTAAAAACGAAAAAAGACTCAAAGATCCACTACCAACCAAAATAACCTTTATATTTATTTATTTTTTTTGATTTTCTTCGGAAAATTTCATGTACCAACATGATCGAGCTTTATGTAACTGGAATCTGTCCGTCCGACGTGACGTAAACAAAAACTTGCATAATAGTCTTATTGCACTTCTGTTCTCTGTCTTCTATAGACGCCTGACTCTGGTTTTCTAAAGGGTGAGTGGTGCAAATCATTATTGCTGATAAATATCGATGAACTGAAACAATATATTAACGAACTATACTACATCCATAAATAAGATGATCACTTTAAATATGACAATACGAAGGAGAGGAATGAGTTAAAGTAAATGTCCCGAGCAAAAAAAAAAAAAAAAAATATTTATTGTAGCCAAATATTCTATGCAAAGCCTGTAATTAGAGGTCCAATCGCTTGATGGGTAATTTTTTATCTTTTTTCGTTATAAAAATATTGATTTTAAAAAACATGGGCAAAATGCTTAAGCACCCTGTATATTTTAAATATTTTGAAATAGCATTATACAATTTTTAAAAATATTATACAATCATGACTTATTAATAAATGCAAATAAATCATAATCCGAAATTGCAAATCCCAAGAAAAATGAGAAAACTTTTATTCGTGGTTGGGAAACGAAATAATAATCAACGACACCGGAGTACTGTACTCGTATGTATATAATACATAAATAATGAATTTTTTTTCTGAAAATATGTCAAGCATATGAATAATATGAATGATAAAGTGTGTTTGTGTATGTGTATACTAATATAATGTACGAGAACTTATGTTTCGTATATTATTATTAACTGTTATGCATGAAGATTTTTATTTATTTTTTTTATTCATTCTGCGTCGTCTATATAGTACACAAATAAAACAATTATTATTAAACAACAATACATACATACACTACACACCATTATAAATTCATTGCACAAATATAAAACCTGATATAAACCTGCGCCAATATTGTTCATAACGTGAAGTTTTTCGTTTTAAAAATATAATATAATTTCCATAAACGACAGTCATAGGCGGCTTCTCGTATAAACTTACAAAGGTGAGAAAACATTCATTCAGGTATTACCCTATACATTTTTTAAATATCTACTTTATATATGTATCATAACTGCTACACCAAAATTAGTAATATGAATATTTTTACCATGCAATGAAATACAATTAGATACATTATTTAACTGAGTCCATGGCGATAACCATTGAAATGTAACAATAATATCCAGGTTAGATTATAAATATTATTATTATTATTATCATTAATTAGTTTTGCAGTTATTTATTTGTTACTTCAAATGGGAAATAAGATAATATATTATTTACTATAATACTGTATAGGACTCGTATATATACTAGTTTATTAGAGCAACTGCAAAAACTAGGCATTTCTCGTCAAAAATACCTGAACGCCGGACAAAAATTAAGGTATTTTCTGTGTTTGGTTTAAAAAATGTACAAAATGAGTCTAAAAACAAGTTTTCGAATAATATTTTAGATTCGGAGCTTATAGTGAGGGATCTATTTGATTTACATTGATGTGTTTTTTTTCTGTTAGAACAACTTTTCTGAAAGAAAATTGAATCTATAAGAGAGGTAACTTTTTGATTTTAAATGGGGCTTTCAAAAAAATTGGACAAATCCGGAAACAAAATTATAGGTAATAAGCAAAATAATATTTATAGCGCACCACAGATTTACCGATTTCATTATTTTAAAATTGTATGGCTAATGTTGTCTACCAGAAATATTATTTTAATAGGAAACCGACGAGGTCCTTTTTTGTTTAATTTTTAATCTTGTTAGTAATTAAGAAAATCGTTTTATGATTTCCCGTGTAGTTTTTTTAATAATTGAGCAAAACCGGAAAAAAAAAAATATGTAATAAGAAAAAGAAAATGTACGAACATAATGATTTAATTTTTTTTTTTTAAAGATATATTTGTATAGATTTGAAATGTTTAGGTAAATTAAAATTTGATTTTTCAAAACGTGGTCAAATTTTCAAAACATTTGAGCCAAATTCATTGTGTTTAAAAATATAATTTTGCGAGTTTTTGCGTATTTTTTATTATGTAGGTACTCTAAAATTGTTAGATTAAATATGAATGCTTGAAAACTTAACAAGAGATTAATTTAAATTTGTACATAGTGATCAAAGAAAAAAAAAATGATTAAAATTAAAATTTTTTTTTAAGTGTTTTAATATCAAATTCTGATGAAAATCGTAAACATTACGGCCTTTCAAAATATGTATAACCAAACTTTGCTCTGAATCATTTTACGTTAACTATAGTTTTTTATTGTTTACAGATATAAATTAAATAATTTTACGTATCCAACATTTCCAACTAAAAAAATAATGGATCATTTGGAAAACAAATGCATTAAAAAATAGTTTATAATATTTAAATACACGAGTTATTTAACTTATAAGAAACTTATGTTTCTTTGTGTTTTATTGAATATTTCTTGTCTGTTGCCTGTGGGTGCGAAACGATACACCTCAACACCAATAGAATTCTCGGGGTTTATTGCACCCTTATGTCACTCTCAAAATGTCACAACAAATCGATAGTTAAAAGTTGATTCTTATGGCGATAATATTTTTGAAAATATATTGTAGTATTATTATTATAATGATATTATAAAAGACGTTTTATGAGGCCCAGCTAATCTACCTAAAATATTTTTCAAAATAGCGAGGTAATTGAATCTATACATGAAAATCCATCACTTTAAACATTAGTGGAAAAACAAAATTTGCATAATAAATTATAATATAGTACCTACGTTTAAATGGAAAACATCCCTCATTGACAAGCTAATAAAAAACCTTTCGTTTGGTAAACAACAATTCTGAACAAGGTTATAATAATTCAATTAAAATGACGTTCAAAAAAAAAAAGTCTAAATTTAAATATAAAAAAAAAAATACATACATTGCACGATGGATGGAACACTTTTGTAGAAGTTGGGATGATAGGATAGATATAGGAATTTATTATGTATCTTTATATAATGATTAATCATTGCTAACATAAAACGATTCTGATTAAAGTTCGGTTGTACATGTTTTAAAAGGACGTATTGTTTACAATTTTCGTCATAATTTGGTATTTAACTGTTGACCACTAAGTACAATTATATATTGAACAACTATGATATAGGTATTTCATTAAAGATCAGTATATATACATATACCTACCTAAATTTCATCCGTTTAGCATTCGGCGTTTAACGTTTATCAACAATATCAGATATTATATGCATTGTACACATACACAATGGTTTCCCGCTAAATAAGGCTTATTAAATTTTGGTGCGTCGTATAATGAGATGTTACAGCCAGGAGCTTTACTCGGGGATAACCACGCCTTAGCGTTCTAATAAAAGGATCGCAAGGGCGATGTTGTATATAGACCTAAAGGTTAATTGAATACAGTGTATACCGCAAACGGTTTCCGAATTTAATTGTTTACAACAAACTATGCGCGAAACTACAAGCACTTATAATTATGAGACGAAATTCGGCGGCTATAATTGGTTTGCGCACTAGTCAGTGAAAGATAATAATAAATATTTCGACAAAAAAAAAAAATTAATTTAATCGTTTCCAAAATAATATGAGAAAATGCTTCTGACGTACATATTAGTAACATAATATTAAAGATATCTACCGGAGTTATATACTTGTGTTTGTATTTACTGTAAATTTAATGGATATATTGAATCTCAAACAAGATTTAGCTATACATTTATATTCAATTTTCATAATATTTTAATGAAATTTATTTATTGACTAGTGAATTCTTTACGTAAAAATTTAACATTTAAAAAAGTCAAAGACATTGTGAAAAATTGATTTATTTTTTTCATTTATTTTTTGGTAACAGCTTAACAGTTTAATATTAAAAAATAGTATTTTATTAAATACAAAATAACTTAAAAAAACAATTTTAAGTTAATTGTATTACTAAGCTATTTGTTTCTTTTTTTTTCTAGCCTGTTTATCATAGAAAACTTTCTCCGATTTTTACGTGTAGAAACTTTTCTAAAAGCTCAAGTTGTCTGAAAGTTAATTTTAAAATAGTTATTTTTTGATTTTTGACATCATTTTTTCAAATAAAATTACTTAATTGGGAAAAAAACTTAGGCAAATTTACAATTTCACGATTTCATTGTTTTATGAAAACACGGAAGATGTTTTTTACCAGAAAAAATGATTTAATCGAAAAATCACAACATCCTTTTTTTATTGCCTTTTTGATTTACATTCCTACGGTATCATCGCCAAAACTGTTAAGCTAATTTTGAGCAATAAGGAATTTTAATTTTTGGGAGTTTTTTTCTGTAATTCGATAATAAATACACATAAAGACTTGAAACTTGGTAATAATATTTATATTGGACTTAGACGTGGTAAATTTTCCAAAATCATCGGACTTTTTTTTTTTAATAAGTATTTTTAAATCAAATTTAAATGAAAATCGCAACAAAATTACGAAATTTCAAATTATGTGTTACTAAACTGCGCTCGGAATCGTCTTTCGTTAAGCAATGGTTTATCGTTGCTAACAGATATAAATTAAATAACGGTATGTACCTACCTTCCCAACTTTTCACCTACAACAGTGGTAGCTCACAGTGATCTCCAGTAAATCAGTAATCATTTATTTTTTTTAATTTCTTAATTATTTTGTTAATTTGATTGGTAAATCAGCAAAACGTCTAATGTTGCCATTTCTAAGTCTGCTTTCTAATTTGTTTCCGATATAAACAACAGTAAAAAACGCACTTTCTGCAGGCATTTTGTGAATAGCAAAAATTCAATTGATAATCAAAATAAGAAAATAGATATAATTATCAAAGAATTAAAAATGCCAATGGTTTTAAGAAACAATTAATGCCATACCTGCTAAATTACCGATTTATTTTAAAGTAAAACAATAATTCCTAAAATTGTATAAGTACTAGAATCATGAATCACTTAAATGTAATGATTGTCCGTCCCCTATAAAATATTCAGCAATCTTTTGCCCTGCATTTACACTAAAATTAAAGTATAGCTACAAGCTACATCATGATAGTACCTTTAGGTACTAAACATAAAATATCAAAGATGGTTTTAAAATCAAAAATTATATTAAATTTGTTTTAGTAGGTGTGATATTTTTTGAAATATTATTAAACAAAATATATATTCATTTTTGCCCTCGATAAACATAAATATATATAAATGTATAGATTGACACATTACCTTTAACAGTTAAATTAAAATACTCTTTTATAGTTAAAACTTATTTCGAAAGTAAATACGAACAATTGTTTTTTGAATATAACATAAAAATAACGTTAATAAAATAATAATTAATTAATTAATTTTCTGAATGACTTTAAAGACCCACATATAAAAATAATATTTGTTAAGCAAATCACAAATAAGAAAAGCGATTTAAATACACGAAAGACATAATTACGAAATTGAACTTCAAAATGAATCTTCTTATTCTTCTTTTTCGGGATATGTATATCTTATCCTAGATAAGATATAAGATATATTGTTACGTACTGATTAATAATATGTCTTAAAGACTAACAAAGTAACACAATCGTTTGCTTCATTGATACATTAGTATCTTTATTTGAGTATTAGTACTAGTATTTTATTTTTGTCATATTCGCTTTTTTATATACCTATTCATTATTGTTACACCGTTTCAATCATGGGGATTTGAAGTAGATAATATAATAACGCAAATGGCATGTCAAACATATTGAATCCTAAAAAAAAAGGTTCTATAACTGGTCATAGAGTTTTTAAGGACAGTTGCATACCAATAAAAATAAAACATTTGACCGTACCGGTCTTCCGGACTAAAGGTCCGGAAATTTGTTTGTGACATACAGCGTGTACTTCAAGATTATATTTGACGTATATATGGTACCTACTCTACAGTTATACGAAAACATTACAATATTGACATGAACGCATAAAATATATGCCATAAATAATATAACTATGCATACAAATTCACTTCGATATAATATTAGTTTTTAGAAAAATACAAAAATAATACAGGAATTTTGTATTGTCAAAAAAAAGCTGTCTATGAAATATTGGCACAATCATTGAAGTTATAATATATATTTTTTTTTTCAGTAAACTGATAAATATTCTGATAAAAAATCATGTTTCAATTTATTCTTTTAAAGTTTCATGATAAAATTATGTTAAATTCATATTTTAACCAATAGAATAATGTGGAAATTTATTTATTTAAATATTGTCAGTTTTCAAAATCGTTATTGTTTAAACGTATTGTTACGATTTCAAACCGTTAATTTCATTTCCGATATGATGCATAATTTATTTGATAGTTGTTAATGCTAATTTGATTAACTATTGTATAAAAATATCGAATAACAAATTCTTTACTTTTCTACTGTATGGGTTTTTAGGTACACAAATCCGCATCATTATTATGTATTTTGTTATTTAATCAATGTGGTGGTATTTATAAATAATCGGTAAATTAAATCTATCGTGATATTTATTTAAGTTTTACTATTATGATAAAGAACATCAAACTCTGAATATTTACTGTCATATTAGTTATTCCTGGTTTTTTAGATTGTCACAAAAATCAAAACAATATTAGAAAATAAATGAGCACAAATCACATAAAAGATTTTAAACACCAATTTAATCTAAAAACGAATAAAAAATTAGATATTTCTAAAAGAGTTTCACGTGGACAGTATTAAATAAGAAAAAAAATATCATATTTTTTTCGTTTATTGTTTACATTATAAACATAACAGTACACTCGTTGAACATATTACTCATATAATATTGATACATAGAAAATTACGTCTGACAAACAATAATAATGAACAAAGAAAAATGCACTCGATTTTTTGATAATAATGCAGAACATTAAAATACTTAAATGACCATGAATTAAATTATTTAATATTTAGTACATCACTCAAGAACAATATATTGATTTAGAATTATAATTTTATAATACCTTATAAATAAGTTTACATCATTATTGCCTAGTATCATAATTTGTGTATCTGCCGTTATTTTTTCACCATTTCGTGGTTTGTTTATAGGTTACTTTTTCCGACAAAGTGGTCAACCACCCTGCAGTTAATTTATGATTATTGTGAAAAATTAATAAAATTAATGTCAATAAATGTTCGGCAAAAAACTCTAATAAAATAATAAACAAATGTGACAACTAGTAAATATTGATTGCATAAAAGATAAAACGATAAGTAGGCAATAAAAAAAACAACGAAACATTCCCTGTGAAGTCGTAAACCAATGATATGAATCGTTTAATAACTACAAATTGTAAATGTAACAAGAAATTTTAAACATTTATAGAGTTCATCAATTAAATGACCAAATGATGCAAATACAATTTTTAATCACTAGTATTTTATAATTTATTTTCTTATAAATATAAATATTTCAAAATCACAATGTATTATATTGCATTAACAGTTTTCTTTTCATATCGGTACCTATTCAATTTCCAACAAATTCTAACATATAGATATTATGAAACTTGTGGAACTTTTCTTTTAACAAATAAAGGACTACGCATGTATTATTTAGTTTCATAAAACTTTTGGAAACAAAATATAATAATTTTAAAACCAATAAATCCCTCACTTTAGTCAGAATAGAATATTATGTGCTGAACCAAACATGTTCATTTAACATTCATTCATCTTCCGAGAAACATAAAAGTTTTATATTTGTAGGATTTTATATTTTTATTACATCGGATGAAAAAATAAATTTTGTTTAGAGGAATTTTGTTTTGGTGATGCATAGTTATTTTTTACCTTCGAGAATAGTCCAAGTTGTATCTATAACAAAAAAGATTAAGGACAGAAAAATAAAAAAAATGAGGATGTAACAAATTTAAAATCCATAGATTTTTAAGAGTATATTAAAGTATTGTCCTTAAAAGTAAAACAAAAATAATTGCACTAAATTCATATTCTATGTAAATGATGTTTATTAAAGGACCTAGATTTATACAGTGTTTTTCTAGACTAAACACTAAACTAGTGCTAAACTATAAGATATGTTATAAAATATTTCATAAGAAATTCAATAGAATTCTGATTATTTTAGTGATTAGATTATTTTTTTTAGTGTGCATTATTTCATGTTTTTCATTTTATCAAGTCATGATAATAATATATTTCATATTTAAATACATATTAAGTGAAATTTACACCTTCTTTTTTTTTTTTAACTATTACCAGTTTGACTAGATTCTATGTTATTTCGTATATACATCTATACCAATTATATTATGTATATATTACCGGTATTGATGATACCGTTTAAAACAACGCGAAAAAGAAATCGGTAC